GCACGTTGACGGAGTTTTTTTTTTTATTTCCCAATTTTCTTCCAAGTTACGTGTGAGGGTGAAAATGGGAAAATGCTAAACTTTCAAGTTTTTTTTAGTTTTTCCTTTTTTTTTTTTTACACGGTCAACGGCTATTTTGAAAAAGTGGCCGGGTCAACCGGGTATTTCCCACTATTTCCTCCAATTATCGCTCATCCCTCATGTAAAAATGGTGCCATTGTTGAAATGACCTACACATGCATTTATTTGTATGTTTGTAAAGTGTTTATAAACACTTTAAAATATAAATAAATAAAAATAAGCGTGGATAAGTCAGTAGATAGATGTAGATATCTCAAAACATTTGAAAAAAAGTGGCTCAATTTTTTATAAACATGAGCCAAATGTCATCGAAATGAATCGGTGCATATAATATTGATCACACCTATATCAGAGCTATTTTTTAAAATTAAAAATAGTTAGTATTACGACAAACTATGAACTTTTACTATCATATATATTAGGAAAAATTGCAGCAGAGATCCCAAACCTTTCAATTTTTTGCAGATTTCACCTTAATCTTCACTTTGTGCCACCACAGGTCTCAAACCTTTCAAAAATATGCAACAAAGGTCCAAATGGATGGTTTCCGTCCATTTGGCCGTTAGTTGACCAAGAATAATAGATTTTGACCAATTTTGACAAAATTAGAAAGGGCAAAATAGTAGCTATACAATTTTCTCATTAAATAAAAAAAAACAAAAAAACACCTCTCCAACACTATCGTCATATTGTCGGCACCACTATCGCCTCTGTGCTAGCACCATCACCCCCTATCTCCTTCCCCAACCCCACTCTCACCAATTTCCCCAAAAAGTCACCACCACAATCAAACCAAAACAAAACACCAAAATCCAAAATTCAATCCACCGCCACAGCCACCATCTACACCTGCAAATCCTTCATTTTCTCTGCAATTCTCTCTCTATGTAACTGCTCACCCAAATTTCATTTTCAGTACAAAAACCAAAAATTCAAGAATCCCAAACAAATTCAAGAGAAAGTGACAAAAATGGTGGTGGTCGCACATGATAAAATTGCCAAATGCTATAACAATTTCATCATCTAGTGATATGCTCAACTGTAGCAGTGTGAAACAAGAGCCCTCTATGTAGCACTGCAAAGAAATCCTCAGCTTTAGGTTATGGTCCAGAAAGGAAGGGGCGCGGTTGGAAACGGGGTATTGCATGAAGATTTTAGTCTGTGGAACAACATAAAACTGTGAACCAGAACTTACTTTGCATCTGCGCTTTCCATTCTTTACTAGGCAAAATGGATTTTGAATTCCTATTTGAACATGGCCACTGTGAACTCCATTTCTCTTTAAGTTGAATTTAGGAATTTTGAACCCATCAAAGAATGGATTTGAGCCATCAGATATTTGATAAGGCTTATTTAAGGTAATGACAGTAATATTCATATGCTCCATCTCAGCGAACTCGTTTTCTCCATTTTGGGTTTTTCCATTACGCAATAAAGAATAGGTTTGTTGTTGGAATTGGGGTTTGTCCATTTCTGTTTGAGCATGTCGTAGAAGCCCATTCTGGTGGTGGAGTAGAGTGATTGGTGGAGGACTGTGGCGGTGAAAGCAACAGTGGCGAGTGTGGTGGCCAAAAGGTTTATTTGGTTTGGTTTAGAGTGAGGTTGGGGATGGGGTGGGGTGGCGTGGGGTGGAGGTGTGGTTGGGGTGAAGAAGAGAGATAATGAACAATTTTCTTTTGTTTTATTTTTATTTTTTTGTTTGTTTATTTAAGGGAATAAATAGCAAAATTACCATTTTACTCATTTTAAATTTGGTCAAAATCATTTCATTTTGTCAACTAACGGTCGAATGGATGTGACCTGTTGGACCTGTGGTGGCACAAAGTGAAGGTTGATGTAAAGTCTGCCAAAAAAGAAAATGTTAGGGACCGCTACTGCAATTTTCCCTATATATTATGATGCAACAATGTCAGTCTTAAACTCATGAGTTGGGCATAATATTGGTGGCAATGCCATTGTAATAATAGATTCAGTTTACTCTCACTTAACATAGGTTAATTTTCAAATGAGATGATTAACATTTGATTCTACTATATACGAGTCCTCAAACTTGCCCAAGTAGTTGTATCTAACACATGCAAATGGAAGAAAAGTACTAATATGGACTATGAAGAATGTTAGAATTTGCGTGTGATCTGAATTCTTTGTTGAAGATAATTGAGAGTTCTAATAAAGTGCACATTAAGAAGAATCTTATTTGGAATGCTATTGTTGAATTATATTCAAGGTTATTTGACGAATTCTAATTGAAGTTTTACTTAGAAGTCCAATTGGGAGTAGAAATTTGTGTTGGAGTTGAAGACGACATTTGAATGAAGAAAATCAAAATTTTAAAGTAAAGGGCCCGAGAATGGGTACCACGGTGCTAGGATATTTTTGGCCTAGGGCGCTGCAGCACCACCGAGATGTTTTTCCCCTACCCGATTTTTTCTTCTCTACTCTATTTTGGACTCTCTTTTTTGTATTATACTTCAACTAGAACTCTAATGTGAGGGTTTGGGCGTCCCTTATTTGTTCACTATATATATTGGCTCTTCATTATGATTTAGTAAGAAATTAGATAATCATAAACACAGAATATTTGTATTCTTTCTCCATATTATAATAAAATCTCAATTCTCTAGAAATTATTTCGTTTTTGGTTGTTGTGTAATCTATTATTTTCATATTACTCATGTTATTCTCGTCTTTATTAGTTGGCTTGATTATTAAAAGTGGTATCAGAGCTGAAGGTTTTTTGGCAAGTACTTGGAATGTCGAAATTGGTTATTAAAGTGAGGTTTGAACAAGGCCGATTGTTTCAGGGATGGCAACTATGAAACTTGAGAGTCCGCTTTTGGATCGCAATAGTATAGTCTCTATGTGGCGGATCAAGATGCCAGCGGTTCTTGTTCAGTTGGATCTTAATGATTCTTTGTCAGGGTGGATATAATGCCTACAACAATGATTGCGGATGAGAAGTAACGCAAGGATCGGAAAGTCCTTTCACAAATACGTCTTCTTCTTTCTAATCAAAATTTTCAAGATGTGGTAAAGGAGCTCGTATTTTGTTAAAAAGACAGAGAAAATCCCATTCCTATATCTTGCAGTGTTATACAAAATATTTGAGTAATCAGCATATTTTAAGAACTCTGAATTTGGAATTGGATTATGTAATGTTGGAATCTAATTTGGGATTTTCTTTGAAGAATACATTTCAGTTGAATTTAGAAGTTATGGGTAGATTCGCCTTGCCACCATCATCGACGATATCATTGTGTTCAATTGCTAGAAACAGACCTATTTTCTGCCATGATATTTCACATAGGTACAATTCTACTAATTTGGTTGATGATTTGAATGCGGTTAATGGTGTTGATTATAGTCAAAATCATTCTTTTAATACATTCAGTTGTGATTCTATTACATGACTTGTTTCAAACTTGTTTAGTAGTCATTAGATTATTTTTGCCCCTAAATGGGGTTGCAGAGGTGGAAATAATTTCAGTTGAAATTGTTTCATGGAGAAGTTCGTTTATATTTTTTCTTTGAAGAGTTCAAGTTTATTTCTTACAGTGTAATCTGTTTCCTTATGGAAATTTTTTCCTTTTTCAAGTTTTGTTTATTGTAGTGGAATTTGTGTCAATGTGGAGATTTTTAGAATTCGGTTGTGACCCGAATTCTTTTTAGAAGATAATTGAGAGTTCTAATTAAAGTGCATTAAGAAGAATCCTATTTGGAATGCTATTATTGAATCATATTCTAGTTTACTTGACGAATTCTACTTGGAAGCCCAGTTGAGAGTAGTAATTTGTGTTGGACTTGAAGATGACATTGGGATGAAGAAAATCAAATTTTTAAAGTAAAGGACCTGAGAATGGGCGCCACGATGCCATCGTCACGGTGCCAGGATATTTTTTGCCCGGCTCCATGCACGGCTGTAGAGCCACTCGACTGTTTTTCCCCTATGCGATTTTTCTCCTCTACTCTATTTCATCTCTACTATGAGAGTTTAAATGTATCTTATATGTTCTCTATATATACGTGGTTCTTCATTATAATAAAATTTATATTCTCTACAAATTCATATTGTAACTATAATATCTTATTTTCTCCAATAATTTTGTATTGGATTAATTCGATATTATCTCCGTTTTTCAAAACAAAGAAGATGAGAATTTATTATATCAAGAAACTAAAATTATTTTAAAAGATTTGATGCTCTCGATCTAAATCTAAATAATTCTTTCAAGTTTCTAATGTATACAACAATGATATAATTGTTATGTTGAGTCTATTAAGAGCATATACAAAGGGAGTATATATATAGGAGGCAAATTTTGGAGTTATAGATGAAGTGGAGTACAAGAATCGCAGTCAAGATCAAGTACGAATCATTTTCCAACCCGCCAAGTGGCACAGCGGTGCCGACCATGCTGGTACAATTTTCTTTGTTGGGCGCCGTGGCGCTTCGAGGCTGGTGCCACAAGGCCAAGCCCCTATTTGCTTCCATCTCTCACGATGCCCCGACTCTGTCCGTTTTCAAAACATTTCTTCATCAATTCCAAAATCGTTATCCTAATCAAACTCACGATCTATGATGAAATTTGATATCTTATCAAATCGAATTTCTAAATCAACATTATCTAGACTTTCTCCAAGAACTACAATTCCAAATCACATGGAATTTAAGTTATAACCTAACAAAGAAAAATAGTGCTTATAAATTCTAACACATGCTAATAGAAGAAAAGTATAAATACGGACTATAAAGAAAGTACTGCTTATCATACATTTTTCATTGCAACACCTAATGTTAACTCATGTGTCAAAGTCAGAGATGGAGATAGAGGGGCGGGGGCGACCACCCCCAACATTCTCGCTGGTCCACTATTCCTAGTTAATTTGTAATGTATTTTTCAGTTTCGCTCCCACAAAAATTTTGACTCGCCCTCGCAAAAATTTGAAATTTTTTTCCCATTAATAAATATTGACTCAATAACTTACACTTTAAAATTCAACCATACAAAAATTTTTGACCTAAACAAAAGATCCAATAGTTACTTAAATAAATAAATAGCCCAAATCCAATTCAAAAGCAAATGACCCATTTATTAATCAATTACCCAAAAGCATACCCATAGGCCACAGCCTACAAAATGTAATCCCGACTATAGACACCCTTTATTCTTCCCAAATATCTTCTCTGCGCGACAGACGATTGA